ATTGTTGAACAACCTTGCTAAACTTTCCAAACCAAGCCCTAAGAGACTGTTTTAGGCCATATAGGGATTTGCGAAGACGACATACCATCCCAGAAGACTCCTCTTGAGCAATAAACCCAGAAGGTTGCTCCATATATATTTCTTCTTGCAAATCACCATTGAGGAAAGCATTTTTAACATCCAGTTGATAAAGAGGCCATTGTTGAAGAGCAGCCATGGCGATAAAGAAACGAACAGAAGCCATCTTTGCCACAGGGGAAAAGGTATCTCCATAATCCAACCCAAAAATTTGAGTATAACCTTTGGCCACAAGACGAGCTTTGAGGTGATCAATAATACCATCAGGTCCAACTTTGATAGGAAACACCCACCTACAACTAACAATAGATTTCCCAGACGGTAACGGGACCAATTCCCAAGTTCCACTATTATGAAGAACACTTAATTCATCTAACATGACCTGACTCCAACCAGGATGGGCTAAAGCTTCACGGACAATTTTTGGAATGGTCACAGAAGAAATAGAGGAAAGACATGTATAAAAAGGTAATGACAGTCGATGATAACTCAAAGCAATATAATGGGGAGAGGGATTACGTGTAGAACGAATACCTTTTCGGAGGGCAATGGGAAGGTCAGACTCATGTGTCAGATTCGGAGGAGACAGAGTAGTTGACACTTGAGTGGAGTCACATGGTGGGGGTTGTGATTGGTTTCGAGAACTATAAATCTGAAGAGGCAGTGGAGAAGAAGCTGACTGCGGAGCAGGAACTAATGGTGAAGAAGACACAGTTAGAGGGTCACAAACAACAGAAACATTAAATGTATTAGGAGTGTTGACAAGATTGGATGGAAATAGAGGTGAAGATTGACTTTTAAAATAAAGAGACAACTCATCAAAGGTGACATCTTTTGACACAACATAACGATTAAGAAAAGAAGAAAAACATTTGTATCCTTTTTGTGATCTTGTAAACCCTAAGAAAACACATTTATGTTATCTAGGAGAAAACTTGTCAAGGCCAGAACTGAAATTATGAACAAAACATGTAGACCCGAAAACTCTTAGAGGTAAAGGATGAAGTGGTTCATGAGGGAATAAAATGGAATGACGTATTTTATTATCTAAAACCGAAGAAGGCATGCGATTAATGAGATAACATGCTGTAAGAAGAGAATCACCCCAAAAATGTTGAGGAACATCTCCATGAATTAAAAGTGTGCGAGTTGTTTCAATAAGATGTCTATTTTTACGTTCAGCTACACCATTTTGTTGAGGTGTATAAGCACAAGAAGTTTGATGCAAAATACCGTGAGAAGTCATGAATTGTTTGAAAGAATGAGAAAGATATTCACGGTCATTATCACTACGCAAAACTCTAATAGAAACACCAAACTGAGTTTGAATTTCATTAAAAAAAGTTTGAAAGATATGAAATAATTCAGGACGATTTTTCATCAAAAATAACCAAGTGCATCTAGAATAATCATCAATCAAAGTAACAAAGTATTGAAAACCTAAAATAGACTTAACGCGGTTAGGTCCCCAAATGTCAGAGTGAACCACGACAAAAGGGGACGAAGCACCACGTGTGAAATTACGAAGAAAGGAAGTACAAATATGCTTGCCTAATTGACATGACTCACACGCCAAACTAGATAAGTTGGACAAGGCAGGGACAAGTTTCTGTAACTTGGCAAGACTTGGATGACCTAACTGAGCATGAAGAAGAGAGGGAGACTCCATAACTGTACTAACATGTGTAGAGGGACGGAGATAATAAAGACCATGAGACTCACATCCTGTGCCAATCACCTGTTTCGAACTCTGGTCCTGTAAACACACAGAATTGTTGGTAAAAGTAACAACACAATCAAGAGAACAAGTTAGACGACTGATGGACAACAGGTTAAAAGGAGACCAAGGGACATAAAGAACATTATCAATAGTTAAAGAAGGAAAAAGTTTAACTGTTTTAACACCATGAGATGATACTCTAGAGCCATCAGCCAGTGTAACAAAAGGTAAATGATTAGGAGAGGATAAAGAGGAGAATAAAGATTTGTTATCAGTAATATGATCAGTGGCTCCTGAATCAAAAACCCAAGGACCAGGAGAAAATGATTGGGTCAGACCAGCAAAATATGTATTTGTATGTGTGACAGATATAGTGGAACTAGAAGACTGTTGATCCTTATACCATTCGAGAAATTTGTTGAACATAACAGGCATGTCGGATGCAAAAGAAGAAGGAGGATCCCCAGCAGATAAAGGTGGGGAAAGATTGGTCTGAACAACTGCAGCAGATCGAGGAAGACGACCATGTAATGTATAACACTTGTTCATATTGTGACCTAATTTGCCACAATGTTCATAGTTAGGACGCCCTTTTCCCTGTTTGCGAGGGCGAGTCCGGTCATCGCGATGGGATGTCAACACAAAAGAATCATTAACAAAATTGGAAATAGTAGAAGTGGAAGAAGTCATGAAGAGCAGGAGAACAAACCCTAAAACAATCCAAAGTAATCCAGTTAACCCACGAAGCACAAATCCAAAATAAGTTCGCCAAGACTAAACGGTGCAGGAGACAACGGGACGACCAACTCCGATAGTGGTGATCCCAACGGCACGGTGGTCACCTGACCGAGACAAGCAAAATCATATGTCATCGGTTAAAAAAAATGAAACTCCGGCGAATTCTCCGGCAGTGGCGGATCCGGTGACTGCTCCAGCGGCAGCAATGACAACAACGTGAACCAGTACACCAGGTAAGTTCCCAAGAAAGAGAGGTGAGTCACTAATGAACACACTTAAATACCAAGTCTTTCCTTGCTAGAACTTTCCTAGACATGCACTTTCACACTACCAAATAAAATTCAGTAACAAAGATAATTCTTTTATAATGTGGAGGATCAGTTTACCAGCAGCGCTGGGGCGGCTCCAGCAGTGGACAAAAGGCGAAAAAAAATTCAAAATAACCTTAAGCTCTAGATACCATGTTGAATATAGAGGAAATAGGGTTTGAAATTAATCTCCCTTGTGTATAAATCACACATAGGGTAATCTATTTATAATAGAGAGGTACAACTAAAAGAGTAACCGAAAGTAAACAGAATAAACAGAAGATATTGTTTGATATTGTGGTTAACAATATCTTATATCTAAACAATATCTAACACCTGCCTTGGAGATTTTCTGAAAAATGTTTGCTGTTACACATTGATGCAATAACACCCGGGCTTTGCGATCTAGTTTCTTCATCTCCTTATATGTTTTCTTAGTCTCTCTTCATCTGCATTCTTGGGTGGTTCTTTGAAACTCACCTTTACAATCTATCAATTTCTTGGAAACCAAGAATCGCCTCCATCTTTACACACCAGTCATCAATAACCTTTCCCATCAAATATAGGTAGGTTTCCCAGTATCAGATTTCCACCAGCCATGAGTATAACACGCAGCTACACTCCCAAGATTCCTTCTTCTTGAACCTTGCTCTGGTACCACTCTGTTAGACCGACTACTGTATCTTCAGTCCAACTCACGAAGAAAATATCTACTGATGCTTTCACCTACCATCTGCCAACATTCATTTCTCACTCCCTCAATATCTTCTCAGCTTTTCTCCTCTCTTCCTCACCAATTTTTCTTCTGCTTCACTAATCGACATAAAGCTCATTTTCTTCTGTTTGAATCAACAACACATATTTTTCTTATTGTAATCACGTTCTCATTTTATTTGCAGTACATAATAGAATAACACCAAGGAACATCCTTTTAGAAGATAAGAAGATAAGTACTAAAAAAACTTTTATTATTTTTTTCACGCACATTTACATAAACTGAGATAGTATTTAATGGTGTCTAGTTCTGTTTCTAATACATAACTAAAAATCTGTTAGTATAAAACCTGTTATAATTTTAGGTTACAAATAATCAACAATATATTCCGCATAATTTTATTTGCCATAAAACTTTCTTTAATAATAATATAGAACTACTAAAATTGATCTAATAAGTCTCAATATATTTACTATCCATTTGGACGACGAATTTTTTATAAGATTGTTTTATGAATAAAAACAAAAAATAATTAAAATTATTTTTTTAATGGGCTAAAATTAGCTTTTGTAGAGACTCTTTCATATTTTTTTTTCTAATTTTATCTTTAATTTGTAAATAAGCTCATTTCAATTTACTGGATAATTTTTTTTTCCTAAAAACTTACGAAAAAGCCTCGTCCAATAAACTAAATTTATATATTTTAGTTTTAATATTTATTTTATTTTTATACGTATCACTTTAAATTTATTTCAGTTTTAGTAAATTTAGATAATAGGGACAAAACAAATTAAAATCGGGATTTTTTAAAAATAAAAACCAAAATGTAAGATTAAATTATTTTTTTTTAACTGGCTCTTATTTACTGAAATGAACGTTGAAATTTTTTGTTATAATCATGGTTGGTATTGAAATAGTATTTCCGAAATTTCTCTTCTGTTTCTTTTTTGTATTTAATTAAAACAATGTGGTAGTTGGGTGTGTGGGCTTCGGTGGTGCCGACATTGGCCCAATACAAAAGCCCAAGATTCACTGCGTGACGTGGGTTTGCAACTGTTATTGGATCCACCGACTAAAAACTATTTAAGCCCATCTATATCTTGAAAACTAAAGTCAAGAACATTATTTACTATACCTGATTATTATATTAATAAAATATATTTATAACAATTATATGTAAACAAAATTATTATTCTAATATAAATTTATAAATTATTTAAAAATAGAAAAATTTGTTTAAATCGAGAATTTAAAATTTAAATTTTAAATTTAAGGTTATGGTTCAAAATAAAATTATATACTTATCAAATTTTAAATTAGAACATTCAAAATAATTTACATTTTTTAAAAGATGAAACAAAAAATCTGTATTTAATTAATTATATTATCATAAATTTGGTTTATATAAAAACATGTTTGAGTAAAGGAAAAGGTAATGAGAATGGCGTGTGAGTGGCGTCACCTTACAAAGGAGCATGATATGATGAGGATGTTTAGAATCCAACGGCCTACAACAAATCTCATGATTAACATGCGCAACACCCACCGATATTCATCATGCTGTGCTGTATTCTGAATGCATGCTTTAATTTAATCACTACCTTTCATTACAATTTTTAACAACTTTTAATTATTAACAAAAATTATTTTTTCACTTTGTAGTGTCGTGCTTTTTTTTTTTCTTTTCAAATATATAGTATTTTTATTTCCATTATCACATTTTTTTTATCCTCGTATAAGAAATTAAATCTTGGTCATAATTTATAAAAATGGGAAATATCTCCTTTTCAAGTCTTCAATAGTGACATAATGATCACTTGCTCAATTGCAATAAAAAAAAATTGGTAAATATAGCATCAACATCTCTATACATATAATACATTTTTATTAATATTATTGTTTTTGTCTCAAAATATTTTCTTTTATGTAAATGAAGAATCTATTTTTTAAAAAAATTAGTGTTTCCAGTGATATTTCACTTCAGAATATTAGAGCAGTGATATATAAACTAGTTATTTAATTGAGTAGTTACAAATTAAATATTGTATTCGAATTTTAAATATGTAGTTGTGTTGAATATATAGATATACAAGTTTATAGTTAACAGTAAATTTTTTATTTATTAAAATACTATTTGTAATAAAAAAATTGTAATCTATAATTTTTTTTTGATAAATTTGTATGATTATTACTTTCAAATACTAGTATTTTACAAATTTTTAAAACACTTAGAGTCAATTTCATAATAAAATATTAAAATGTGAAGAAAATAAAAAAAAATTGACATATGATGGAAAAATATATTTGTTTGGAGATAAAAATATATAAAATATAAATAAATTATTTATTTAAAAATAAAATATAAATAAGTAAAATTAAATATTCATTTAATCACAAAACTATCTCTCTAATTCATAGATAATTTTTTACGAGTTACATTTTTTAAACTAATATTTTTTTAATAATATATTTTGATATAAATAATAATTTGATATTTTTTTAAACAATATATATTTTTTAATTATAAATAAAAAAATCATTTATTCGAGGATAAATAATTGTATAAAATAATATTTTTGTTTCCACGTTTCATTCATTTCCAATTATGTATGAATGAAAAATAACACATATTAATTTCAATACAAAATTTATTATTGTTCTTAAAGAATACTTTTTTTTTCAATTTATTTTGTTATTTTTTATCATATATTTATTATTTTAAAAAAAGATTGAATGTTTAATATACTATTAATTGCCAACTATTGACTTAAACTGATATATACTCCATTAAATGTTTAATTTTAATAAACAAACTAGAATTTGATAAATTATAATGTTCTATTAAATGATTATACATTAATACTTACTTATTTTCTTTTGCATATTTTAATGTGAAGAATACTAACTAAATAAACTTTGATTTTTTTCCTTATATTACTTAAAAACACTTGTTATTAATATTAAGAACATAATTTATTTAAGTAACTAGATGGAACAATGCAATTTCAAAACAATTAAAGTCCTGTAGGATTTTTTATAATTTATTTTTTCTCTACTAATTTACGTGATATTTTCACCAACTATTCAGATGATCATAAATTAGTTGTAATGATAGTTATTTCTGTTGTGATGTTAATGAAAACTTAATTCATGGCTAAAAAGGCACATTCAAACGTTAATTTCAATTTCATCATTTGACATCAAAGGTTTTCTTTTAGTGTAAAACATTGAGGCGTCGTTGTTGATTAATTTGGAGAAGTTGTAGTTTTCATTGGGTGCTTTATTTATATAATAATTAAAATTGTGAAAACTTAGGGACCAAAAATATAAAAAGAAGATTTTATATTTGATATAATAGAAGTGGTGGGTATGGATTTGTTGGAGCACTGCGATTGGACGGTGCAAGAGACGCGCGGAGATGAATGTGGTGAAGAGAAGAGAGGAAGTTAGATGTCGCACTCTGAACCCGGCAATCCAAAATAAAAAGCCGCTTTCTTGTCCCCCAAAAACATCATTTCGCTTTCCACTCTTTCTCTCTGTCCCCAAACACACTCTTTCTTTTTTTTAATCCTATCAATTTTCAAAATCCAACACAACTCTCTTTCCTTTTTCAACAATTCATGGTGCAAATCAATATTTTATATTTTATTACACATAAATGAAACAATTAATTGAGTTATAAAGTAAATCAATTATGTCACTTTATATTTTTATTCATTTTCAATAATTTTTTTAACTTAAAAAATTATAACCTTTTTTTTCAACAGCAGCATGATTAAATCTAAACATAAGTTACTACGAAATAGCAATTTCTCGCAAGCAATTGATGGGAACTGTTTCTTTTGTTTTAAAATAAATAATTGAGAATATATATATATATATATATATATATATATATATATATATATATTTAAGAAGTGTTATTTAATATCTATTACATGACATTCTTAAAAAAAATCCTTTTTTATAATTATTTTTTGTGTTATATTTTTATAAAATTATACTATCCTTATCCAATTAAAATAATTGTTTTTATTATATAAAAGAAATAAAGTGATAATATAAAAAATTATATATTTGAGAAAAATAATGAAAAAAAGACGTATGAAAAAAATAAAAAATGTGATGTTATAAAGAATGGATAGAAAGTGTAATAAATAATTAAAAAAATCAAATTTTTATTATAGTATTAAAAAACAATTTTTTAAAATTAATAATATAAAAATTTGAACTCTAGTAATAATAACATTAATTTCCTTTTTAATATTGATAAAAAATTACTAAAAATTTAAAAAAAAATATGAGATAATAAATAAATAAACAAATAAGATCTTCTAAATTTTATTGTATATAAAAAGCTATCAAAATGTACTAAAATAGCCTCATAAAATTTGGTGCTCTATTTGTTGTTCTATTTTGGGATAAAATTGTGATGGACCACAATGCATGGAAATTTAATCTGGTGGCCTACTGGTTCGTTTTCAGGTTTACTGTAATGCTAGGCCACTTTGAAGAGGAATGAAGAATTAAAATATTTGATTCATTGTTTCCCTATTTGCCCTTTTGTGTCAATTGAAGGACCTTACAACTATGACCCACAACATGCATGAGAGTAATAAGTGGGATCCATACAAAGGCCATGCTTGTGGCTGTGTGAGAGTATATATGGTAATGTTATTAACTTAGCATATTGTGTATAATATACGTAATAGGTGGATGAATGAAGTGGGCGAATCTTGCCACCTTTGTTAGGGTCATGAGTGGGGTGACTCAAAAATGGTTCTTTTACAAACGTCTGGTTTAGTTAGCTTCGCAAACATATATAAGAAAACAAATCTTAAAAAGTGAAAATATAATCTTAGTTAATGACCTGAAGTTAAACTTAAATCCAACAAATAAGAAGACAAAGTGTCTTATGAACTTTGTATTTTAATGTTTGGAAGCACCGAAGGATTGTTGAGAGTTTTAGAAAAAATTGAACAGAAAAATAGTAAAGGAGGTCTTAAAATCATGTTTTGGCATGTAGCTCTTAATTTCAACAAATGAATTGATAGAAGAAGAAGAAGAAGAAGAAGAAGAAATGATGAGAAAAGCAAGGGCATTGAGGAGTGGAGGTGCGTTCCATCGTATATGTTCGGCGGAATATTATTAAAAAGGTGACAGTACCTTGCGCAAATATAAATTAAATTAAAATGAAATGAAGTGACAGTGCAAACAAACTTTGGTTTGAACATAAGAGAGAATTTGGAAATTACATAAAGCGCAGTGTTTTTAGAAGACGCTTTCCTTTTATTAAAGTCATATATTTTAATGCATGGAGTTTCACATCGGACAGCAAAAGCTTTTGTTACTTTATGCCCAATGGAGGGTCCTTAGTTTTTTCTCTCTCTTCTCTTCGTCTCAAAGTTTCAGTCACTCTTCTTCTCCTTCTTCTTCCTCTTCATCCTTTCTGATCTGCTGTTTTTTTTCAGGTAAAACGTTTTAATATTGCAGCTTGTGTGCTTTGCTTCCACGTTTTGTTTTCTTATGTTGGTTGAACCAAGCAATTGGACCCTGAATTTCTGGAACCTTTCTGCAACCAACCCTCTGTCTCTGTGTGTGTGTCTTTGTTTTTGCCCTTTTTGCTTTCATGCCTCCTACTTTGCCATGCGTCTTTGTCTTTCCCATTATCAATGGGTGAAGATAGTTTTCAATCTTTGTTAATACTTTTCCAAATTCCTTTCAGGGCATTAAGACAAGTATGGCTTTTCTTTCTTTCTCTTCTATTTTGAGGGAATTTTTATGACTGAATAGTTTGTGATTTTTCACCCACTAACTCTCTTCATGGTCTGCTCTTAAAGAACTGTCTTTTTTAAGCTGAAGTTTCCTTATAGATGATGCTAAATGATCGAGTGAAGAGTATGGTTCATAAATTCAGAATTCTCGGTTGGCCGTCAAATGCTTTCTATTTTATTTTATTTTCTGTTGTCATGGTTTATTCCTTTTCGGTTTTTTTTTTTGGGAACTTTTTAACTTTCTTCCACCGAAAAGTCATAAGTACGTGTGTGTGTATATACACTATGTAACCATGCGTAGCAACGAATGAAAATTGTCCTATCTTCTAATGTTTTGCTGTTTATTTAATTATTATTATTATTGTTTTATGTGTGTGTTGCTTCTAACTCTCAAATCCCTGATGTTAAGTTTGCAATTTTGCATTATTAAAATTAAAAGAAAAAAAAAATCTTTAGTTTGGTGATAGTTGTTCATTTGATGCTTCTTGGGGACAAAGCAAAGAAATTTTGAACAAAGGTATACTTCAATTCAATACATTATAGACGTTCTGAGATTAATGGTTTGTTGGGGTTGTATATAAATCAAGTGTGGCTAGCTGTTTTTCAGTGTACTTCTATGTTTCCTGTCTGTTTGTCGAACTTGAAGGTCGTGGCATGTAGAGTTCGATAATTGCGATTACTGAGTTTGCTTTATGAACAATGTCAAATGGTGTCATTGCTTGATAGGGTATACAAAATTGGGTGCTTTGGGTTAAAGTGTGATGTCTCCACCATTGCTGGGCATAGGGGAGGAGGAGGGTAAAAGCAATGTCACCTTGTTGGTTTCCTCATCAACCACCATGGAAAGTGTGTGCCTCAAAAGCTTAGAATTAAAAGAACGCAACTACATGGGATTATCTGATTGTTCTTCTGTGGACAGCTCAGTTCCGTCCTTCTCAGAAGAGAGTAAAAGTAATCTGAACCTGAAAGCCACTGAGCTTAGGCTGGGGCTTCCGGGATCACAGTCTCCTGAAAGAGATTCTGATCTTTGCTTAAGAAGCTCAACTCAATTTGATGAAAAACCTTTGTTTCCTTTGCGTCCTTTGACTGATGATCACCATTCTTCGACCAAGACTGCTGTTTTGGGAAACAAAAGAGGGTTTTCAGATGCCATGAATGAATTCTCAGAGGTAAACACCGATTTTCTCGAAGGACATTTACTTATTAAATGCTTGCCTGACCACTCACTAAAAATCCCAAATCTATCATGCAGGGGAAGTTCCTAGTTGATTCTGAGGCCAATCCCTTACTATCACCCAGGCCTGCTTCTAACTTGGGATTAAATCCTGGTTCTACACTTGAGAAGGTTGGGGCTCAGCAAACCAAAATGAAAGAAGTAGCAACAACAAAGGTGGGGCTCGATAGGCCTCATTCTGCCAATGAAACTAGACCAAGTATTGATTGCTCTGCAAATAGTAACAGTGCACCAGCTACCAAGTAAGTGGAAAACTATAACCGATCAGATTTTGTGAGGTTGGTTTAACTCTGGAAATAACCTCTAATCATATCATGTGTGCCAGGGCTCAGGTTGTGGGGTGGCCTCCTATAAGATCATTCAGGAAGAATTCATTGGCAACTAATTCAAAGAACAATGAAGAAGTTGATGGAAAAGTCGGGGTTGGTGCAATGTTCGTCAAAGTAAGTATGGATGGGGCTCCTTATTTAAGGAAAGTAGACTTGAATAATTACTCTACATATCCAGAATTGTCTTCTGCTCTAGAGAAGATGTTCAGCTGTTTCACCATAAGTAAGACAAAATTAGTTTTATGTGAAAAACTTAACCTTTCAATTATTTATGTGGACAGTCTGCCTGGATCCAGTTACTGCTTGTTTTGGTATGATTTCAGGTCAATGTGGATCTCATGGAATTCTGGGCAGGGAAATGCTGAATGAAACCAAGCTGAAGGATCTCCTTCATGGATCAGAATACGTTCTTACATATGAAGACAAAGATGGCGATTGGATGCTTGTGGGTGATGTTCCCTGGGAGTAAGTTCTAATTCATATATGTACCTATTTTTTCCCTTCCTTTTCGTTAAAAGAATAAATTCCTCAAAGATAGCAACTTTTTTATATTTTTAAAATGTGTTTTCGCATGACATAGTTTTGATTCATATTAGCTTTTCTTGGGAAGGAAGCTAGGAATCACTAGGACTTCAAATGATCGCATACCACTGTCCAATATGATGATTGATCTGTTTTCTTTACAACACTTCCTTGTTCCAGTGTATATCTCTTTGATGTTTTCGGAATTTTTTGTATTGATTCAGATGGGACATCATGGTGGTTAGATTATTATAGTATTTTACCGTGTCTACATTTTTATGTTTTCATATTAATTTAGAATTTCTGCTTTAATATTAATATTTGAATCTTAGCTGCATTGTGTTTTATATTTTTAAAATTTATCATATCCACATATCAGTGTTGAGTTCTATACATCCATGTCTCGTATCTCTGTGTGCTTCCTGGGAAGGAACTCTGATAGATTGTAGAAAAATAAGTTGGCATGGAAGGTTGGTGCACGAACATATTTTAGTAATTTATAGCTTATTTTTATTAGATACTTCAACTAGTTATAACCTATGTGTAGATTCCCACGAATGATATTCTCCGGAGTATTATTACTAGGAAGATTAGTCCCATCCAAGATATTTGGTAAATATTTATCATTTCTTGGAATATTTTTAATTTTAATTTAATTCAAAAGCAAAGATTTTTAAAAAGTAGATAGAATAAGGTGGAACTAGGAATTTATATTAGGAAACAACTTCCATTTCTATTGGAATATATGATTCTCTCCCCTCCACACGGGACGAATAGAAGGAGGGGAAAACATGGCGTACTTGTATCAAACATGGTAATGTTAAATTCCCAAACTCCCATCCCTGGGAATAGTTTTGTATAGACTTGAAATGAGCACACACAAGTGATTAAAAATATGCTAGTTTGATGGAAATGAAAAGAAAGAGTATTACTTTGTGCATGTTTTAACATTGTTTTGAGTACTCAGAAAAGAAAAACTGCTGTTCTCCGTGCCATGTGAACCTCCACATTCTTACATGCTGAGTAATTCTCCTTCCCCTGTTATTATCTGTTTATGAATTTTCAAAGAATTTTCTGAATGCATGAGTTAATGACTAATATAATATTAAATTATGATACTGAAGAACAAATTTCAGTCTTGAGCTTAGGTATAGAATTATATAGTTTTATGAGGTCATGATTTACCTTAGTTTGTGGTAATGGGATTCTTGTAGCAACTTGTAGGAGTAAGATTCATTTTTTAACTATTTAATTTTGATATATAAAACCATTATCTAATGTAGATTTCTCTTAAAGAACTATACATCCTGTGTTTTTTGGCTACTAGGTTAGCTGTGTTTGTTTACATTTAATTTTGGTTTAATTTCAATATGCAAAATTTTAAGCCATCTATGAATTATGAGGTGCGCGATGGGCATAAAAAACCTTCAAAAACTGTTGCTGCAAGTGAAATGTTGTGGTTATTCCAATAATTTGGTATCTCCTCGTTTCCTAACAATAATGTATAGTATTCCATTGATAAACTTTCATATAAATAGGTCAAGCTTTTTTGCATGCCTAATTAAATTATTCATGAAATTAAGTTGCATATTGTTTGTTTCCCTGCAAACAAATTTCAACAATGTCTCAATTCTTTGCAGGATGTTTATCGAAACATGCAAGAGGCTGAGGATCATGAAGAGTTCTGATGCCATTGGTCTAGGTATTTTTTATCCACCCCATCTATTTTATAAGTCTAACCTTAAACATACTTGTCTGAAAATCGTGAAGTACATGAGAAAGGAAAAGCAATAAATAGAGGTACAATGCACATAACATGGTTAAATAGTTTAACAATCAACAAGTAAACAAAAATTGAAAATTGCCTGATAGTTATTTCAATTGTGCATTGGTGGTTGCAATAATGGAGGGACAAGTTATACCTATAATCTTAGTCATCAAAGAGTCTTATGGCTACACCTACAATACAAGAGTACTAGTTCAAATTAAAGTTTGAAAATTAATAACTTCTGCGCAATTTGCATTCTGAAAATCTGATTTAAAAAAATGCTTAGTGAAATTGTGTTCAGAATCCAGATATGGTTAGAACTGAGGAACTTTTTTTAAAACTTTGGGAAAATGTTTTATGAATGTGAACTAAGATTGTGGCACAAATCAGAAGATAATCATAGAAACCCAAGTTGAAATTGTCCAAGTTGTTTGAAATCTATTTTCAACTTTTGTTAATAATGTCCATGAGTCGTTTGTACTAAAAGTTTAGTCTATGCGTATCTAATTTAAATTTACATTTTTGTGCCTACTTGCAGCTCCCAGGGCTGTTGAAAAAAGTAAGAGCAGGACCTAGGAAGGGCCAGTGTTCCTCTCTATCCATCAAACTGTCTGCGGTATGAAAAACTTCTGGGCTATTGGGGACGAACAAATCAAGAACATGGTGTCTTGGAGACGAGACCTGAGTGGATAGAATCTCATACTAAGCTGCATCAATCCTTGTATTGTTATTATGTCTGCCTTATTTGTCATGGCGTTTGTTTATCTTCAGCAAACTTCTTTTTAAGATTTTTATGTTGAAACTTATAAAAACTCCGAAGACTTGTGTGTGGGAGTACACCTATATTTTATGTACGCGAGTTAATGATGTTGTTGAAGGATCTGTGATGTGTAAATTTTGCAGCGTACCTTCAACGGGGTGTCCTATGTCTGTGTGAAAAAAAAAAAAAAAAATTAAGTTGAATGTCAGTTTGTCCCTTGCCATGGACTACTCTGTTCACCACTTATCAAAGTCATTACCAAAAAAACGTACGGTTATCAGGATCTGACTAAAAACTGACACTAAAAAGCTAGAATTCCCAAGTTAGATAGATGTTTCTGATCATGATTTTTTTTACTACCTTTTTTTCACACCATTTTTATGAAACAAATATTAAAAAATTGTGCTCGGTAAAGCTTTGAGATTTGAGCCTCGACCATGAACTATTTAGATTTTGTCAAGACATATTGGATATGGTTGTCGGGGAGGGGTGGGGGTGTAGAAGCCAAGCATGTGAATCTCTGACAATTGGTTGCAGTGCATGGATCTTCTTGTTCAATCAAACCAAAACACACAGCAGTGGCGTGACATTATGGCCAATTTTTTTAGCCATTTGTGGCTCTAGTTCTATGTTAGCGTACAAAGTCATGTCTTGCATGCCTCAAAGAATGGGGTATATCAAACTAAGTCCTGTAATGGCGTTTCACTGTTTTGGCTCCAACTTATGCTTCACGAAAGGAAGAGATTGTTGATATGACGTTTTCAGATTTAGTTGTTACCATGATTTACTATGTGCATAAATGACACATGCAAGCATCTAAACAAAAGAGAGGGTTGTTTTAGATACCCACTTTGATGCAAAACTAAGTAAAGGGATTATGATTAGTGGACAAATTGGGTGTATGCAGTGTTTAATGTCTTCTCTTAAGAATTATCTTGCAAAAGTGTGAATTTAGTTCAGCCATGCATTCTTCCAATGCACATGATTCTCTTTGTCCACTGTGGCTATGGAAACGCAACCAAGCTAGCATGTGCCTTCTTGTCTAATCGGTTTGGTTCATCGTATTTGATGTTCATAAAATATATTGCAAATCTTTTTATATCCAGGACTTCCCTCTGCAGTTTTAACTTCTGATCAAAATCCAAGAGGGTAAGAACAAAATATTGTAAAGTACGGATAAAAAAAAATCCAAACTTTGAATAGAAAAAAAAAAGGTATTTGCTTAAGGAAAAAGGATAGAGAGAATTATTTTGCAGCAAAATAATCTTAATCTATATTACCTTGTTTTCATACCCACTACTTAATAATAACAACGATGACAGAGAAAAAGAATGTTAATTTAGAAATATATCATTATGATTATGTACTGTGTACGACAAAAAATGTAATTTTGAATTCCGCAATGATAATATTTTTATTGAGTAAATTCTTATTTCATTCTTTAATAGTAAAAGTAAAAATTGTTTGAGAACCAAATAACTAACTAATAAACAGCTCAAAATAATATTAGAATCATCCAATATTTTATCTAAGAATATTTTAATTGAATAACAAGTTCCTATAAACATTTCTTTAACAGGGGCATATTCAATAATTTCATAAATGAGTGATTTCAAAAATTACCATCATTAAAAATTAAAATAACATCTTTTATTCTAATTCTATATACTATTTATATTTTATTCTACTCTATTTTTAAATATAATTTTTAATTTATAATTTAATAGTTTAAAAGAAAAAAAAATCCTTATCATCTTAAACCACTATCATTTTTCTTTATCCGTACAACTGAGTTTTCTATCCCTTCATCTCTTTCGTTCTCATTCGAAAAAAATTATAAATAATTAAAAGTAATCTTGTATCATAATATGATATAAGTTAGTTGTTATAAATTTATAATGTATTATATATATATATTAAAAAATAGTTTATAGTTAAAAAACTAAATATAATATAATTTATATATTCAATAATATTTTTATTAAACATTTTTCTTGTACTCCATTGAAACTAAAATACAAGTAAATTTGAAATCAACATAATTAAAATGCTGAGGCAATTGACCCACATTGGTACCCCTGGATCTATCCCTGTGATTTTGGTCAATAAAGACGAAATGCAAAGTGGGTTTAGTTTGGGTTTGTTTGATTGGTTGCATTTGCACCTTTTGGGTCAAGCTCCACACATGCATGATCTTGGTGTGGATGCTGGGTGGGCCTGGTGGGCCTAGGGCCACTGGGCTCTTTCTTGTGGACCTACAGCTGTCAAAATATCAATAATTATTATTCAAATATTAAGTTGGTCATAAATCAGAGTTTTGTAGGAGTCAATGCAAGTAGATATGATCTTAAAATTCATAATAATTATATTTTATTCGCTAATTCCATACAAATTTTTACACTAAGCATATAAAACTATTTTTCTTGTATTATTTAAAGAGAGTGACATCGACTGATTAATTTAAAACATGTCAATATACAAGATGTTTCGTATAAAATGCAAAAAAATAAATTATATTTACCTTCAATTTAAAATATGTCAAAATATAATATTTTCTCGATCAGCTAATTAAGAATGGTTTAACGACTAAGCTTGTGCAAGTCCAATATGTACAATTTTCTTTCACAATAATGATTTAGAAATAAAACATCTTAAAAAAATATCTATGTATAAGTTGGAATATTTAAAGAAAAAATGCCATAATATTATTGCAATCTGAACACAGTGAGATATTGGATTAAAAAATCTTGGTTTTTCCATTGAAAAGCAGGTGCAATATCAGATGATATATTAGTTATTAGCTACTGCATGGTTTAAACAAAATAATTTTGATAACAATTATAACTAAGATGACGACAATATATTAAGGCCACTTTACTACGTAGAAGAGAAAGACAAACGTAATACTAGTTTCTGAAATTAAGAAAAAAACTGAAAGATTCTTATTCAATCAAACCAGAACATGATTTATGACAGATGCGATATGCACTTGGTATTATTAGGCATTTATCTATTTTTCTATCTTCTTGGAACCAATCAGATTATATTGTTTTGGCAATCATCCCATGTGGTCTTCCAGACTCACACAAGTCAACTTGCTAATACATGCACCATCATTACATCCATTCACATTGTACATTATGTTAATTATATAACTATATCAGAATATTAGCAGAAAAGTATAGATATATAAATATATTTAGTGTAGCAGATTTGTCTCATACTGGGACCTGTCAACGCTTAACAAATCCATTAATAAAAAACAAGCTAATCAGTTTGGCGATATCCAACTACTTCTAATTTTTTTGCAGTTTTTACATGCATAGATTATTCTAAGATTTGTTTGTGCTTGTTTTGTAAAAAAGTTTGGCTCTCAATTAAACATGCAGTATGATTACCAGAGGCTGTAGCTCAACATCAATTCAACATGCAGGATGGTAGAATAGAGTGGTAATCTATTTTGCCCTCACTGATTTACAGGGAAGACTTAATTTACTTGAAAAAAGAATTTTTTGAAGTAAATTAAGGTAACTGAAATATATAAATTTGTTGGGGGAACTCATATTTAAAAAGAAAAAAAAAACTGACACATTTGATATTCAATATTTGACCATATAATTGATTTGATGAGTATTTTTTAGCAATATTCTGCAGCAACTAACCAAGATCCATGCCCATCCCTTCCATTATTCACATTGAAGAGTTATGGTGACAGGACCATGCAGAGCTTAGGCAATTCAGCAGCAGCAGGGGATGGCAAAGATTAACAAACACCCATACTTTGCTGGATGTGAAGTAAATGTTAGCAGAGCAAAGTATATTATCTCCCAAAAGTTGGTGGTGTGACAAAATGCAGTCATAAAACCTATAAATAATGTTTTGATTTAAAGGCCTATTGAAATCACATAAAGTAGTTTAGATAGCCTTGAATTTCAACACCCAAGGGACCCCACCTCATCCCAATCTCCTTGTTTGAAAACATAATTGAAATAAATGCTTATTAAACAAATGAATAGGAGAAAGAATTATGTGAAAGGTGCAAAACATGGCCGAAGATGGTAGCCAACTATAGTTCTCTTGGACTTGCTCTACCTTCCTTGTGCATTGCATGATTGAGGGAAGTTGGAGTGGTTAGAAATGGTAGTTGCAATTAAAAGTCATGAACCATGGAGATCATCACAGAATAAATTATTAGCATACTATTAATTAATTGCCGACCCTCGTCACTTCCACTACAGCGTTAAAAGTTGATTACTTTTGACAAACCGCAAGAGATCTTAATGGAAAAATTACTGCCCCTACAAATGGAGGCCAAAGGGTGTGTTTTTTTTTTTCCAATCACAGCAAATAAAATAGAGAAAACAATGATACTTTTTGCAACTGCTAACAATATCATATTGCCATAAAATTTCACACAAAGTTTTTGTTAGAAAGAGACCCTGGTTGTGCACTTTACCTGACCTTGATACTTCAAATCAGCATTTCAAATCAGATAGTGATAGAGGAAACACAACCATGCGGGGTCGTCGCTAATTTTGTGCTGTGTGTCTTGAAATCTAACCTGCTGCCAAAGCAATCCACATGACCGACCACTAATTGCAACATTGATATGTCTTTTTGGAGTAGTGTCCTACTCCTAGTGATTAGATCCTGTAACACAACGTTTGAACCCCCGTTTTAAAGTTAAAGCTTAAGTGTGAAGAATGAATGGAAAGCAAGAAAGAGTTTGCTTTGCATCACTCTTAACAAATTTCACTTGACAAAACTGTGTCCTACTGCTTGTGGCCTTGTCTTTTCACCAAAACTTAAACAAACCAGGAATACTCATTTCTTGGCATGTTACAACTTATCAATATACGGTACGAGATAAATTTGCAAGTGCCTATCACTGCCATTTTCGTCACTCTTATGCCAATGTATAATTAGATATTATTCTCTGAAATTAATGTCACTTTGAGAACCTCCCCAAGAAGCTCTTGAGCGTGCGGCCCAGAAAGCTCTTTTATCTCTGCAATTGACAAGCGACAACTCTCACATTAATTGAAATATGATAACACAGCATGTGGTATTATTATTATCATTACCATTCCAAACGTGAACGGATTTTTCCTTTTTTTTTTTCTTTTGGGTTGTTGCATAAAGCTATATGTGTAGATTCTTTTTCTGTGGATTAAATACCAGATATTGTTACTACTCATGCAAGCTAGCATACAAATGTGACGTGTACTTATAAAGTTTATCATTGCAAACATATTATACACAGAGAGTAGGAATTCAAAATTTATCAGAATCACCATAGAAAAAGTTAACCCCAGGTCAAAAAAAAGTACGTGCGTGAGAGACATCTCATGTTCTTAAAAGGAGAAAAATACAAAAGACTACACATACACGAGTTTAATGGTTAAAACAGATAGAAATGATTACATATGAAGAAAAGGTTTTCAAACAACATGTTTACTACAAGTTGAAACGGATTCAGGTGAGAATGAAATAAAGAAAAGTGTAATGAATGAATATTTGAACAGAAAAGCATGTCGAGTGTTGATGAGTTTGAAACGGTGATTGTACTTAATGTGGTGCATAATGTCACAATTTAGAAACATGATTAGATAAGTTGAGAGGGTGTGCCGGTACGTGTGTTTGTATGAACCTTGCAAAATTGAGGACCCAACAGACTAAGAGTCACATCCTCATCGATGAATATCCGAGCATGCTTGTTGAGAAGGTAAAATACAAAAATCACATTCATCCTCATGCTTCTGTACTACACAATCTCAACCGTTGATTTTAGGTCAAATAGCTCCAATGCACTGTCCAATCATACATGTGGCCCCATTCATACTGTGAATGGGTTCCATCTCTACGATCTTCATCAAAGGGGGCCCTTGCTTCTCGTTAAAACTAGCCAACAAAATTTGTGAGAGAAGAAGGAGCTATCAACTAACAAAGGTAAAATCTACAAGCCAAATTCGATTTTTAAACATGAAAGATCGCATGTATATATTATCACAACTTTTATAGTTTGTGTTTGTTTTTAAGGTTGCAAAAATGGTTTTTTAATCATTTAATTTTATTTTTTTAAATTGAAATAATTTATATTTGCACACTTGCATTGACGTTTTTCCAGTTAAAAGAGAAGTTTAAAGGAAAAGGACTCCTCGTTTTAAGAATAGGACAAATTACAATTCTCAATGACAATGCTATTACATGTTGCCTTTTTAACCAAAAACTCTTGGATTCAATTTCAATTCCGTGAATAAAAGGACAATTTGGAAAGTTTGAGATTTCACAAAGTATTTTTTTTTTTCCTTCAAATTACCACTTTTATTTCCTAAACAAAATCAACAATAATATGTATTGATTTCACAAGAATTAGGTCACACAATTTACTATGAATGAGTCAATTAAGTAGACCAATATAGCATTTGGTGAATGGGTTTAATTGATACACGTCTTTGTATTTTTTTAAATAAAGGTTTGTGCATACCTTCTCTCTAGCCACAAAATGGTAGTAAACATCAATTAAGTTGTTGGTAAAAAGGAGATGTAAATGTATGTGGCGTTGCTCGCGATACGACACGAATGATAATGCCATTTTTTTTTTCCAATAAACATAAAGTCATTAAATTAAAGTTCCAATTGGGTTTGATCCACGTATTGAAAACGTAACGAATCACAAGACTCGAGTTAGGCAAATGACAAGTTCACATAACCCAATAAAAAAGTTTTGTTTTTTTACTGCGTCGTGATATCATACTTTTACCTAACTTATTCTTAGACAAAAAGTTGTTTTAAACGAAGGTCGTTGAAAATGAGTGATACTGACTCAAAAATTTAAAAGATGATTCTTTTTACTAAAAGCCATATAAAAAAAAGGTATTTATAAGTATTCTCAGCATGAAAAAAGCGATAACACCAAATAACGAGATAATATTTAACTTATTTGATAAAGAAAATTATTTTGTTCTGAATATACATAAAAATAATAAATATTTTTTTTAGAAAAAAAGTCAATCATATATATTTTAACATTGAAATCCATTTTTCTTGTTTTAATTTTAAAAATAAAAATAAAAAAATTTAGCGTAATATAATTTATTTCATTTAAAAATTAGTGCATTGATATCTCAAATCATATTTGTCGAATTGTATATTTTGAATTATAAATTATTATAACTGTGTTTTGATAAATTAAGATAAGAAAATATATAAAAATTATTATTAATTTAATTTTTAAGTGAAGTTATGTGAAAATTATGAATAAATATTGAAATATAGTTTTATTAAAGAAAAAAATCTCTAAGTTTTAATCTTGACTTACAACGTTAATATTCTGTTTAAAAACCGAATTTATATTTAATATTAATAATTTGTAATATATTTTATCTAGATTACATGAAAAAATTTTAAGTATAATTTATTTAATTTAATCTAATTAATTTTATAAATTTATTTCAAACTAATTCACCATATTAAACACATTTAAAAGCACAATTAAACCTAATAAAGGATGAAAAAGAAACTATTATGTTTAATTTATTCTCTTCTTTATTTCATTATTCTATAGCATCAAATATAGTTAGCAGAAGATGAAAAAGTTATATGATGGTTTTAGAATCAAATATAGTTAATACAAGATGAAAAAAGTTATGACCATTTTAGAGTGTATTTTGTGTGGGTTAGAATTAATCCCATTAATAATATATTAAAAAAACATTTAAATAAAATATATGTAAATTTATTTATTTCACTGTACCGATTTATTATTTATAAAAAAATAAATAATGAAAAATAAATTAATCTGACGTAATTATTTTTTTCTTTTTTTAAAAGAAATAAGATAAGTGACGGAAGAATAAAAGAGGAAGACAGAAAAAGAAAAGTAAGTGCAATAGAAAAAAAAAAAAGGGAATAATAAGAAGTAAACTACGGGGAAATAAATAAAAAAAATAAAAAAATATTGTATTATATAAGATAAATTTATTTTTCATTATTAAATTTTGTGTATGGATTAGTTATATAAATAAACTTATTAAATTTTTATTAAAGTAATTTTTTTAAAAATATATTATTTATGATTTTTTTTCTATTGGCATTCCATCTTATTTTTTCTAATTAAAAATACTAGGTTGAAATTTGATAAAATAAATATTTTATTATTTTTATAAAATAAAAATATTTAAATTATATCTGTATTATATTTAACAAACTATTATTTAATAAATTTGAGGTATTATAATAATAATAATTATTATATTATAATTATTAAGAAAAAATTAAATATTATTTTAAAATAACTTTTTTAATATATTTTTTAAATTATCTAATCTGACTAATTATTATTACTCAACTTAATTATAACTAGATTAAATTACTAAATAATAAAAATACATTTAAATTATAAATATTTTATATTTTTAACTAGATGAATAATTGATTTATTAAGATAAAAAAAATTAAAATAATTATTTACTATCATCATAAATATAATTATTTATTGTCATAATAAATAAAATTATTTTTGTTATTATAATTTTAGATAATTAGTTGATATTTTTATAGTTTTAATGTTTATCTTAAAAAAAATATTTTAACATATTTTTATTAAATTTTAGTACAGTAGTTTTAATTAGAAGAATAGGTGACAAAAGATAAAGAAAAAGAAAAAAAGAAAATACATTAAGCAGAAATAAATAAAAAAAACAGTGAGTAAATGAGAAAAAAGAGAGAGAGAAGAAAACCTATATATAAATAAAAAAATAAATCTATTTATTTATGATAAACATTATTTGAATTTTTTTAAGATATATTATTTGTAGAATTTATTATTAGGGTTATTATAACTATATATCTAACTTCCCTTTCATGTTATATGTTAATATTCTTTTTAACTTGTTTACCATTTATACATTTTTCTCTCTTTTTTCTTTCTCTGATATATTCCTTCCATTCGTGTATGCTTAACTTTTTCCAGTTTGTATCCATTAAAACGCACAATTCTACAATTTTTAGAAGTACTTGTTAAATGAAATCAACAAAGTAATTAAAAAAAAAAAATAGTGTTAGTTATTTGATCTCAATGTCCCTCTTCCATAGGATCTAAATAAGAACCTTGTTTTTTTTTTTTTTCCTTATTGCATTAAAGATGTTACCAATCGTAAGCAAAATTTGATACCCTTTATAGATTTGTGCACATAACTTCATAAATCGACAACAATAACTATGTATTCAACTTCAAAGTCTCATTGCACATGTCAATTTGCGTAGAACTTAATAAAATAATAAATATTTGTGCTACTTGATTGGTCGTTGTTATTATTATACCACTTAATTCTTATATTTCCCAACCTAAATATACGTGGTTGTTATGGATTCTGTGTAATTAACAAGTTCATGGCATGTGACCCAATATTCATAACATCCCAACAACCACCAAGAAACAAAACTTTTCATTCAAACCCCATCCTAACATAACATTTTAGCACTTTTTAGTTTTTATTATCAAAATATTTTTTTCTTCTTCACCAAAACTTATTTTTCACTTCTCTTTTTTCAACATATCATGAACCCGACTCCACCAACTAATTAGTGTCATTAAAACCAAATCCATTATTAATACTAGATTATACATATCATCGGTTTTAGTACAACTTTTGTTTTGGTTTTTTATTATTAATCACCAACTTGACTATCTAACTACCAAAGTTATATAGCAGCAACAAAATTTGAACACATTTAATAAGAATGTTGAACAAAAATTGAATGATCGATGAATCAGTTTTCTTTTTTGTTGTACGTAGGAGCAAGGATTTGAGTGTTTTTCCACTAATAAAACCTTGTAATAAAGTAATGAGATTTTATATTGGAGATGTTCTTGCCTTATGTAAAAATAGCATTCTACTTTTATTATCATTTTATTAATTTTCAAATCTTTAAATGAAAGAGATAAAATGCTATTTTATTTTATCATTCATTTATAAATCTTTAAGTATAAAATAAAATAAGTTATTACTTGTAAAAGGACAAAGAATTTCAAATTTTTTACATTTATTCACATTGTAAAATTTAATTTTCTCTAAACAATTCTTAGGTATTCTCAGGATTGTTTTCTTTCAAAGATTCACACACACAGGTCAAATTAATCATTAATACTTGATACATAATGAATATTATATTGCAAAGGTGTGAAGTGGCTTTACTTAATGAAACATTTTTACTGATGGAGTAAACTAAACGTATCTCTTTAATTATTATTCAAATTGAATCTGCAATCTGCAATCTGCAATTTGCAGGTAGATTATTTGCAATTGGAGAATGCAAAATGGATGGGATCTCTTCCATATGAGTTTGTCAAATTTGTGTCATGTGCATCAAGAACTCCAAATCCAGTTTTTTAAAACTCCCACAACGTTTGACAATTTGCATCACATGTGCACCAAGAACTCCAATTTCAGTTCTTCAAAATTCCCACACCCTTCAACAATCTCATTAATTATATATATCCATTCTCGACGCTCAAAACGACTTCAAACATATTATGATCAATTCCTAAGAAACTTAACATATATAAAACTAAAAGCTTTTGATATAAAATAAGAATAGAATGTGTTGTTTAATAAACTTGAATGCTCTTCAATGTTTAATATTGATCATAGAAGACCGATGTAAATGATAGTGATTTCTTTAATCTGGATTCAGTTTTGTTTTTAATTAAATTTCGTGTTTAACCTGCCAATCTTGACTATCGTGTCACAT